GCTGGGTACATTTAATCAGCTTTTTTGGCTGCTGGATAGAGAATCCTTTCCTCATTCTGCTCCATGAAGATTGTGTTCCCAAATGGATGGACAGTTTGGATTTGTCATTCAAAGATGCCACACCTGATTTATTTTACATATCTGCAGGCCTCCACAGAGCAGCTTTTGGCTTTCCTTCTCCACTCTTCCCCTTGCAGAGGTCAGCTCTGAGGTTTGCATCCCCTGCAATCAGTTATTGCCCTGCTGCTCCCAGGAACTGTAGCCTCAAAACATCTCAGATGATTTTGCTCAGACTCAAGGGAAAATTCCCTTAAATCTGCTTCCAGTCCTGCTTTATTAAGGAATGAACAGAAGGATCTGGTTATGCTAATGCTAATACACTAAAATGTGTATTTCACCCCTTACCCGGGGGTTGTCTATAGGGCTCAGCTGGAATTTTACCTCCAGCCAAATAAAGTCCAAGTGGGACAGAAATGCTCCCCATGGAGGGGTGGGAACTGCGAATTCCCTGAGTATAATTCAGTTTCATTCCTGGAGCACCAGCTGTGTGTGCCACCTTTCAGCTGCATGAGGAGTGAGAGGGAATCACCCTTTCACCTGTAATTCAAGCAGCTCCTCACAGCAAACTCTGAAATTAGGGTAGCCAGAATTTTAGAGAAAACAGTAAAATTAAAATATAAAAATATAAAAAATATATCCTTTTTTTTTTTTTTTTTTTTTTTTTTTTTTTTTTTTTTTTTGACTCATGGTGAATCCATTATTTGCCCAGACTTTTAGGACAGTGAAATGCAACCCTTGGGATTCTGCTCTGGTGAAATCTGGTTCATTAAGTTGCTGTTAACTTTCCTGCCAGTAGAAGCCTGAATGAAATCAGATGTCAGAATACTTGGGGATGATATCTACATTCTAACACACTGTGAAAATATTTACAAGCTTCCAAGATGAGACTTTTCCTGATTAGGGAAATCAAAGAATAGTTTTCCCAGCAGGCCTGCAGTTAGCTCATCCAAATTGCTTCTGTTTTAATTGGCATGCATTTCCTCTAAGCAGCTAGGAGATTAAAAATATTTGACTTGGGCTCTACAGGACTGGAAGCCTCTTCCCCCAGACACAGCAACTCTGGGAAAAAAAAAACCAAAAAAACCCAAACCAAACAGCCAGCTCAAATTTATATTGCATTTATACAACAAAAATCCATCTTTGAGAAGATTGCAGACCAAGAACCAGACTGATATTCTGACTTTTAAATGAGGAAAATAAGGATGGTGGGTTTTTTTACTCAGGTGTTTTGTGTGTGAAGTCTTTCATTGCCTGAGTTGTATCTAAGTGGGCTGGGATTTTATCTCTGCTCCACAGCAGTCTGTTGTTTACAAACTGCACTTTGGGACTTCTTTTATTCAGTTTTCTAGTTTCAGAAGCGTTGGGAAGAGTAAGTAAACCCAAAGAACCTTCATCAAAAGTGACTGCTTTAGTCTGGGAAAACCAACTACTGTTGTGTGTGAAATTAATTTGCTGGAGTTTTTATTTCTCTTTTGTTGAACGTGTCTGAGGAGGGACATTTTCCCCAGGAGTTGTTCTCACAGGGAATGATGAGACCAAATCTGGAGGATTTGAGGGATGTGACCTTGTTCTAGGATGGTGTGGAAAGCAAACCCTGTGCTCTCAGGGCTTGGGGATGGTGCCTCTTTGTGTTCCAGGAAGGTTTTGGTTATGAATTAAAGCCACTGAAGCCCACCATGGGTAGAGCAGTGAAAGCAGCACCCAGAGCATGAAAACCAGCTCACTTTATTTATTGGGACATTAGGATATTAGATAATTTTGATTGAAAAATATGCCAGTATCACCTCCTTTAATCAGAATTTCTTGGTAGTTCACTTAGAACATCTTGAAAACATCAATATGTAGAACGTCTTGAAAATATCAATATTGGGAGGTTTTTTGTAAAATAGTTCCTTCCCTCACCTCCACCCAAAAAAACCCAGCAAACAGCAAAAACACCACCCAAGACCCCAGCAAACAAAAACTCCCTGGCCAAACCCAGTGTAATCATGGGATTTCATGTGGATGAGACTCCTAATTTCCCCATTTGTGGTAACTGGATGTATTTTGGAGATGCAAAGCCCCATGATGGGACATTGCCACGTGCCAGCTACGTTTCTATTCCTCAGCTTTTGGTGAAGAAATATTGAATATTCACCCCTTTGGAGGCGTGAGGTGGTGGTGTGTCAGTCCTGCCAGCCTGGTGAGGAGCCTGGGCTTTGGCTAGGAGAGATTTTGGGATGGGCTGGAGCCTGAGGATCCTGTTCCAGGGGATTAGGGAGCTGCATTAGCAGGGAATAATGTCAGTCACGCTCAGTGCCTGCTGTGTTTCTCCATCTGCCTCTCAGAACCATGAGGTGGTGTTTCCCTGGTGGCACAGCATTAGGTGAGTCATGAGCAGCACAGACTGCCAGAGATTTGGTTTTGGAGCTCTGAGGGAAGTGTAAACTTCATATTTGTTGTTTATTGGTTAATATTTAATTGGAGGTGAAATTAAAAATTAAGCAGGCAAATGAGTCATGCTGAAAAGCAGCAGCACTGTCTCGTCAGCACTGTGGCTGACAAATGACAATGAATTTCTAAGAATGGAAGGAAATAAATTAATTTATAGCACAGGGAGCCTAAAGAGATGCTTTGATTGAGAGGAGTGGACGCATCCCACAGAAAGATCATGGAGAAAATATCTTTGATGCTGTGTCAGTAGCCTTTGCATCAGAAATGAAATTGGTAGATGGTTCTCTTCAGAAAACACTCAAAATTGTCTTTTCTCTATGGTGTTATGGAACAGTTTAAGAACAATTTTATTTTGGAGCAATGTTTAAAAAGATTTTTTTTTTATTAGAGCAATGTTTATTTCCATCTTCTTTTCTCTTCTCAAATCATGCCTGTTAGAGATGCCCAGCTCTCAAAACCCTGAACTGCACTTAGGAACAGACTATTTATTTATTTATTTTTTTTAACCACTGGAAGTAAAGAGCAGCCTGTTATTTCAGCTGTTTGTTATCATCTCTGCAGCCTTTCTGACAATCAGATCTCAATCTGCATTTTGCCGTGGCTGGCAGCAGGCAGAGCCTGGGATGCTGCTGGTAGGGAGGAGGAGCCCTGTGCTGCCTCCTGGGATGAAGCCTGTTTCACTGGGCATCTGTGACATTTCTGGCCTGCAATTTTTTCCCCAAATAATGCTGCAGGCTGATGCTATTTCTGTTCAGATTCTGATCCATCCTGTTTACAAAAAGACAAAGCAGTAGTGTGAGTAAGGCCTTTTCTTCCTGCTGGATAGAGAGGGGAGTACCTGGGGATGGGTTGAGGCTGAGCAGTTGAGCCATGGAGAGCAGACTCTGGTTCATCATCTCCTGCTTGGCAAATCAAAACCCTTTTTAATTGCTACTTCAAGTTTCTCTTTGTTGTTTCCTGTAAAAAATATTTTGTGCTGCAATTCTCGTCTCGTGAACGTGGAAAGCAATATGTGAAATTGAGGGTGGCAGAAGTTCTTAGCACTAGAAGATACATCAGTAAATAGGATGGGTGGAAGAAATGTGTAGCAGTTGGCTGGTATTTGAACTTTGGGCTGTAATATCATAGTGAAACTTGAATTTCCTTTTTTTTTGTTTTTGTTTTGGTTTTGTTTAACTTTTTCCTCCACAGCAATCAAAGGAATTGTTGAGGTTTGAAGCTGTCAAGGAGAGGGCTGGTAGAGGTTCAGTTTTGTTAATTGAGCAAGGTAACTCCAAATTAGTGCTCACACAGGCCTGATTTTTGTCACTGCAGAGCAATGGCAACGCCCTCAGAGAGTGGAAATAGCAAATCCTGCCTGTTACATCAGTTGTAGCTGGGTGGGAGATTAAAATTATTGCACAAATATAAACCCAGGACTTGAAAGGCACTGGGCTCCTCTTGATGTGCTTTATCTGGGCATTTATATATAATTTCCACTGGGGATTGCTGTGCCTAGACAGTTCAATGTGTGACCTTTGCCTGTGACAGGTTGGTCAGTTATTAGGCTGCTGGGGTGCCCTTTGAAAGATCTTTTTTATTATGAAAACGATTCTGAGACCTCTAGATTAGACAGTGCACTCACACTAACCCGCTTGAGGCAAAAAAGAAACCTTTAATCTCTGTTAAAACTCTGCGTGCCAAATATAATAGCTGGTTTCAGCAGTATTTAAACCAACTTCATTAGAATATGGGAAGGGGAAACAGGTTTTAAAGGCTGGCTTTAGCAAGTAATCAACTGTCTCCCAGATGGTCCAAATGGGACTCGTTCAACACTGCACATAAAAAAGAAAGTCAAAAAAAGGGAAAAAGAAGGAAAAAGAGAGCCCAGCAGCATTTTCTGTGTGTGTGGTGACTGGTGGTGATTGGGCTCAGGGGAAAGGGCTCCTCATGCAGAGCTCTGCCAACCCAGACATCCCAGTGCATCCATGCTGTGCTCGCTTGCACAGAAGGCAAGGCTGCAAGGTGTAATGTATTTAAATATATTCTGCATTTCTGATGGTGGCTCTATAGTTTTTCCCCCATGTTTCACAGCTTTTGTGCTAAAACCCAGTTTTGCTTTAACCCATTATGAAAACTGGTAGGGTTTAACCCGTTGTTAACCTCGTAGCCTTATCAGGGAGCCTTTGCTTTATCTGAGCCTGTGCTCAGAGGACAGCCCGGGGTGGCTGTATGGAGCAGAGCACGTACTGGGGGTGCATCCTGCACGCCGGGCTAATCGCTCGCTAATTAATATTCATGACTCATCTCATTTAGCGGCTGCTCTTTGGACTCGAGCAGCGCTGCTATTGGTGCTCGAGCCGTGGGCAGCTTTATCTAAGGCAGAGCCAGCGCTGTCCTGGGTGGATGCTGCCCACCTGCAGCACCTCCAGGACACCCGACCGTGGTGCTGTGCAGCTCCTCTGGCATGCCACCACCCGTGTGACACCATCCCCCTTGTAATGAGTCCTTTCTGCTTCTTCCCAAAGGTCCAGAGGAAGAAATGACCATGTAGATTCTACAGCTTGGGTGCAGCATAATGGGAAATGGTGAATGGAGTGGAGCTGGTCTGCAGCCTTGAGAGCAGCCGTTCTGTGACCTCCAGCCTGTCAGGGACACCCTCCACGCCAGGGGCATCCTCCACGTCGCTCGCCGGACACACGCGGGATTCTTTTTAATTTCTCCGATTTGGAATTCGAGGTTCCTCTCCTCCAGTTTTTAAAACAGTTTTAAGATTGTATCCAACTACAACGAGTGGAGCAATATAACCAGCCACAATGGGTGACATGACAAATAGCGATTTTTATTCCAAGAACCAAAGAAATGAGGCCAATCATGCAGGAGAGTTTGGGTGCACACTGCAGGAACTGCGCTCCCTCATGGAACTCCGAGGGACAGAAGCAGTAGTAAAAATTAAAGAGACTTATGGGGAAACAGAGGGGCTCTGCAGACATCTGAAGACATCACCAACAGAAGGTAAGCACTTCTCACTTCTCTTGAATTAGGGGAATTTGTGTAAATGCTCTCCAGACAGTGAAATAAGAGGTTTTGATTCCTACCTGAACAGAATTCTCATGGTGCTGCCATTATTCCCAACAATAAATAAACAAGAGTCTTCTAAGAAAGAAGGGAAACCAGTCCAGCTATAGCTAAAGCTGGCATGAGGGTGAAAGGAGTGCTTCTTGTTTTAACAGCTAAATGCATTAATTCTTCCTTAAAATGACACACAAAAAAAAAAATAAGCACGCATTTTAGGCATTGCAAAGAAACTTGAATCTCTCTGCTCCTGAGGGTAAGAAGGTGCAAAATAGTGGCTTCAGAGCAGCTTCTAGGTATTTGGACATCTTGAGAGTATGAAATGACCTTCTGAGATGCACATTATGTTACTGTGCAGATCAATATATTTTTTATATTTATATATAGGTTACTAATCTTCACTTATTATATTACCATAGACAATTTTGCTTAAATCATCAATCTGTGATTGTATCGATGTTTTTAGTAGTTGCACTACTGTTGTGTGTAAAACTAAGCTCCATACTTTCTTATGTTTAATACTACCAATCTTAACTTTCCAGAATCCGTTTTCCTAACTCTTTTTGGAGACTTGATCATTTATTAGTCTGGTTTTCAATGCTCAAACCAAAGAGCTCTCCATAAGGCATTGACAATGGTGTAATGTTTCCCTCTCCTCATACAATTTTCTTTCTCTTTAAGTGCAAGTGAAATTCTGTTTTATTCTAAGAATTCTATTTTTGTCACTGTATTTTCATCTCCAAGGAGTATTAACACTTTTGGAAATTACACAGTCTTTCAGTCTATAATGTTTCTGCAGTCTTGTAAAGTAGCCAAGATGTTCATTTCAAGTTCTTTTCTTTTTTACGAAGATAGAAGTTTTGGCTTTGTTCCATTCTCTTCTTTCTAAAATTAATCATTTAGTTACCTCCAGTGTTTAAATGCCTCAAAGTCTGGAATTATTGGTGTGATCATAAACATGTCAATTGTAGTATGATACCATAAATTAGCCCAGCTGAGGGGTCCCAAAGGAGCAGCTATCAATGTCTCAGCCTCCAGGATTCCACATTTGCAGAAAGTCAGAGCTGAAGTCTCCGTCTGAGCCGAGCTCGTGGCGGTGACTTCAGTCAAGTTTTGCCAACTCATTCTAGTGGTTACCTGGTCAATGTGAACTTCAAAGGAGATGTTAATTGCATTATGTGTTCAATTTATGACATCAGGGAAACTCAATTCCTCATGTTGGAACAGGGTGTATGGATCCAGCAGCGTGGCACACTGACTCCAGCAGTAATCTATATCTGATACTGCAGATAAGGTAACTTTCCTCCAAGCATTACGTGCACTTCATCACTTGTGCATTAGGGAAAAACCTTTCCAGCTTCAAATGGCAATCAGCATAGCCTTGGAATCGTCAAGGCTCCGCTGGGTTTTAATTTTCAAGTAGATCACATAATAGGAATTCCCAGTCACACAAAGCTTACATCTTCTTTTTAATTGTTTGGCTTGGAAAAATTCTCTGAGATATGTCTTGTCAAACTCTGGAAACTTTCCCTGGAGAGAAAGTATCCATCACAGAGAAACTTGAAAGGCTTATGGCAAATATAAGCTTATATTTAGTTCTAAGTCCCAAGCCATTGTTTTTCTTGATTCCAAACTCAGTGAAGAGGATATTCTTGCAGACATGACTATTCTTAGAGAAAAAAAAATAATAATTTCTTAGATGGAAATGGAATCCTAACATCAAGCAGACATGATTTGAAAATTAATTATTCACATAGCTTTATCCTTTGGTATCTGCAGCAGACTGTGGATTCCTCATTGAATACCTTTGTGAAAAACCACAATTTGCTACAGTGCCCGAAAATCACTTTTCCAACCAGGCATCATTTTTAGTGAAGCACAGTTCACTGAACTTACTTTGTTTTTCATACTTTGGTGCATTGCACATCTCACAGGCTTTTATGGGAAATACAAAATAAAAATTACTGCAGGGCACTTCTCTGAAGGAACCAAATGTCTGAGCAGGAGTCCTGAGTGACTGTGAAACAGTAAAAAGGACCTGACTGTAGAACTTGGTTCTTCCTTGCTTTGTAAGATCTTCCAGAATTTAGCTGCATAAAGTCCTTGTAATTTTGTGGGATAAGGGCTGAAACAGATACCAGAGCAGAGGAAAAAAATGTTTCCTGGCAGCAGGGACATGATAATTTGGTAAAATGTGGCTTAAACGGAATTTACTGTTTTATTTAGAAAGAAGAAGTAGTCATGAGCACAGAGCTGACTCAATTAATTTGCCATGTTAATATTTGATGTCCCACCTATGGATTGGCAGGATCAATCTCACTTAGAAGTGCTTTCTGAGACTCTTTTAAAGGCCCTGAACTTCTCCAGTTAAGACATCATATTTGTAACTCAGATGTCATTGACTCTGCTGTGAGGCTCATTTCCCAGTGAACCCTGTCTCAATTCAGCATGGAGCTGGGGAAGTCTGCTGGATGTTGAGTAGAATAATATTTGCATGCTGAATGAATTAATAATATTATTATGGGTTACAAGTCTTCAGTCTCTCCTTTAAATTTTCTTTGATTGCTCCTTTAGCTATAGATGCAGTGGAGATCCCAGCTCTCAGTTATGCCTGAGGGATTTCCTGCCCTAAAGTGATTATATTATAATGAAAAGCTCCCATTTAAGTGTTCATGAAAAGAACCTCCCAAAAATCTATGGAAATAATTTATATGAAAAAATACACATACGTGTCAACTTGAATTTGCTTTAAAAATATTTATGTTCAGATTAGTTTCACTTTCATTATCCCAGGAATACCACATATAGGCAGGATCTAGCCCTGTCACTTTGCAAAACAATGCTGAATCCCCCCTTGGGCAGAGCTGTGCTGACAGTTGTAGAATTTTCCATGCAATTGGAGTCTCTGAGGCCCACTGGAGCATCAGTGATACCTTATAAAGGACAGCTGGTAAAATGGGATGAGTTAGTTGGATGAATACCAAATGAGACTGGAATCCACTCTCTCCAATACTTAACTATATTTACCCACAATTTTATGTAGCACCCACCAATTTACAGCACCTTTTTCATCTACTTTCCCTTATAAAATGTTTATTTCTTTTAGGAGTATGTCAGTGAATTAAATTCCCTGATTTCTTGCTAAAAGTACTCGGATGCTGCAATTTCCAGTGCATGTAAAAAGTGAAGAATTCACTGTGTGAAGGATGATGAACACCCTGAGTGGGAAGGCATCCACGAGGATCATTGATCCAACCCCTGGCCCTGCACAGACACCCCAACAATCCCACCCTGTGCTTCCCTGAGAGCGTTGTCCAAATGCTCCTGGAGCTCTGGCACCTTGGGGCCATGCCCCACACAGTAGAGTGAAGCTTTTTTGATTTTTAAATTAAGGGAAGAGCCTTTTCATGGTGGTATCTGTGCAACCACCCCCCAAACAGGCACTCCAGGAGGTGTTACATGTGGTGATGATGTTACAGCATGACAGAAGAAGTCTTTCTGTTGGTACTTCCTTCTAGAAATGGGCTGGTGGAGTGCACTGGGGGAGAACATTTCAGCTTCATTTTGTGGGGTTTTTTTCTGGCTGTAGGTTTCAGGATACCATGGAAAGGTTTTATGGAAAGGCACAATATCAGTTCACAGTTAACTGATAATATTTCTACTGTAGAAGTTCACTTTTTAATCATCACAACTGCCCTTAGTTGTGCTACCAGAGAAGTTCTCTCTTTTCAAATGTGTGTGGGGATACAGGCTGAGAATCAATTGGGCCAGCTGGGGAGGTGTGTTTATTTTTCATTATTGCAATCTAAAAAGCCTTTCACAATTTTAATGATGAGGTAGAAGATGAAGAAAGATTGAATGCAACAAAATTAACCATCTGCTTTTAATACTCTTTAGTTTTGGTTCCTCACTCTTGCTTCCATAAAAATGTACCTTTAATAACTTAATAGTCTGTTTGGAAGCTGCTCTTGCTGGTTCACTCTGAATTGCAGTCAGGTGCACCACTGTGTTCAATCAGCTACAGAGATGCAAAGAATTTGGAAAGGAAATTGGGAAAGAAATGAAAAATACTTGATTCAGACAAATAGAAGTTTAAAATAGAAATATAAAATAATTGATTCAATGACTGTCAGAGACTGAGCTTTATTTTAATACGCTGTCACAACAGACCATGAATGTAAAGAAATTGGTGATAGCATAATTCTCATTGTTAAAAGAATACACTTGGTCATGTATAAACCATTAAATATTATCCATAAATTCAAGATCTTCTTACATTATTTTACATTTAAGGTGAGGATGGATAATATTTTATTGATTTTATAATCTCTTTAACATTGCCAGCTGTCTGAAAGTAGAATTGAGGAGTTTCTTTGTGATGCTGAGTTGAAATACTTTGGAAACCTTCAAAGCAGCACCTTAAGAGCCCTGTAGGAGCAGACCTGCTCATCCTCTCTCCGGGTCACCACACTGCCTAATTCCTCATCCTTATTTGTGCTATCAAAACATCTCTTGTACTTCAGGCCCATTTGCCAACCCCCTAGGCAGCAGCCAAGCTCCAAGTCCCCATCCAGCCCTTATCTGTACATGTTCTCCCCACACGGAAGGTTTGGTTTGAACAATGAAATCAGCCCTGGCCATGAAAAATCCCCTCAGACCGGCAGGGCCAAGGCCTCACCAGGCCTTGTCCTACCTCGTATGGAAAAGCCCCATGGAGGAACTTAAAACTCATATTTCACCTGGCTGCTCGTGCAGTGCCAGGTGTGGTTGAGCTGGAGAGAGCTTGGTTAGCCTGGCATTTTCCTGTGGTTCCATCAGTGGGCACTGGCTGCCCCCCGAGTGACCCAACAGGCTCCCAGGGACCTGTGCTCGGCCATGGGGCTGGCTCCGTCCATGAGGGGCTGGCTCCATCCATGAGGGGCTGGCTAGGAAGGAAGGAA